GTAGGGCATCGGTCGGCTTCTGGTCAGGGCTCTGGAGCTCAAAGCACGGTTGGTGGGGCATCGGTCGGCTTCTGGTCAGGGCTCTGGGGCCCAGAGCGCCGTTGGTGGGGCTCCGGTCCGTCTCTGGGCAGGGCTCTGGAGCTCAAAGCTCGGTTGGTAGGGCATCGGTCGGATGCTGGGCAGGGCTCTGGACCTCAGCGCACCGTTGGTAGGGCATCGGTCGGCTTCTGGTCAGGGCTCTGGAGCTCAAAGCACGGTTGGTGGGGCTCCGGTCGGCCTCTGGTCAGGGCTCTGGAGCTCAGAGCGCCGTTGGTGGGGCATCGGTCGGCTTCTGGTCAGGGCTCTGGAGCTTAGAGCAAGGTCTATGGGATGATTGCAATTTGCCAGTGTGAGGCGCAGTGCATGCTTTACATGCAGAGATGAGCTGCAGAGCATGTATGGGCCAGGGGATGTTGGCTGGAGCACAACGGTCGGCTGCTGGCCAAGATTCTGGGGCCCAGAGCACGGTTGGTGGGGCATCGGTCGGCCTCTGGGCAGGGCTCTGGACCTCAGCGCACCGTTGGTAGGGCATCGGTCGGCTTCTGGTCAGGGCTCTGGAGCCTAGAGCAAGGTCTATGGGATGATTGCAATTTGCCAGGGTGAGGCGCAGTGCATGCCCTACACGCAGAGATGAGCTGCAGAGCATGTATGGGCCAGGGGATGTTGGCTGGAGCACAACGGTCGGCTGCTGGCCAAGATTCTGGGGCCCAGAGCGCCGTTGGTGGGGCTCCGGTCCGTCTCTGGGCAGGGCTCTGGAGCTCAAAGCACGGTTTGTAGGGCATCGGTCGGCCTCTGGGCAGGGCTCTGGGGCCCAGAGCGCCGTTGGTGGGGCATCGGTCGGCCTCTGGGCAGGGCTCTGGAGCTCAGAGCACGGTTGGTAGGGCATCGGTCGGCTTCTGGTCAGGGCTCTGGAGCTCAAAGCACGGTTGGTGGGGCACCAGTCCGCCTCTGGGCAGGGCTCTGGAGCTCAGAGCACGGTTGGTAGGGCATCGGTCGGCTTCTGGTCAGGGCTCTGGAGCTCAAAGCACGGTTGGTGGGGCACCAGTCCGCCTCTGGGCAGGGCTCTGGGGCCCAGAGCACTGTTGGTGGGGGCATCGGTCGGCCTCTGGGCAGGGCTCTGGAGCTCAAAGCACGGTTGGTGGGGCATCGGTCGGCTTCTGGTCAGGGCTCTGGACCTCAGAGCACGGTTGGTAGGGCATCGGTCGGTCTCTGGGCAGGGCTCTGGGTCTCAGAGATAGGCCTGTGGGAAGGTACTCACTTGCTTGTTTTTCAGATACTATAGCCTTTAACATGAATTCTATTATCTTTTTTCTAAGCACAGTATTCTGTCGTGGGAAAACATTCGCCCACAACGTCAACTTTCAGGATACTCTATGACACACACAAACTAGACATACAAGTTTGCCTTTCCCACCCTTTTTCTAAGCCTTTTCGGGCTAGAAAGCTGTGAGGTCGCCGCCTTGGTGTAGTGTCGAATGTGTCGAGAGTGTCGAGAGTGTCGAGAAGAGATGCTGGTCGAGGCGAGGCGAACATGTGAAGAACGAGACGGCACGGGACAGTGTGTAGGAGACAGTCGTAACCCGAAAAGCTACCTACTACAGGTCGGAGCAGATGTCCATATATACGAGGTCAGCGCCAGAACTGTATAGTAGGTTGTCATGTAATGAAGCCGTCCTCCAAATAAACAAACACAATGAGATCAACGAGAAGAGAGGGGAAGAGGGAGCGCCGGGATAGTCCGGCGTGAGCGGAACAGATAGAGGCTCGGCGTGCGCAGCAAAATGCGCGCGTGCGATCGCGGAGGCATCGCATTGTGCTTGTATCTATACTCGAGGCTCCGAACTGTTCCTGTACTTGGTGTGTGAGTCCCAGTCCTCACAAAAGCTGAGCCGTTGCCCGTCGTAATTGTTCCAACCGATGAAGACAGACTGATGTCATCTGGCTGTCCAAAACCATTCTGAGAGCACTACAAACAGTTTCTCATGCCTCCTTTTGCACCTGTAAGGCCATCCACTTAAGCCATACAGAGTCCTTCACTGTTCTGGTGTTGACTCCAGTGCCTATTTAGCGTGAGAGACCAAGATCCCCAGTGAGGCCTTGAGGATGCTCAGGTAATAGTGTCCTTCCATCTGTCCCAATTTGAATTAATTGATAACAATTCTCCATGCTGTCTTATTTGAATCACAAACAACATTGGGACTTTTCTCTGCCATAATCCAGTGATAGTGGGTTACAGGTATCTCTATTTGCAGTCTGTGAGTGTGTGAAACCCCTCTTTTGCTGGACTGGGGTTAGGGTTATTAACATTAGGTTTAGCCTGGAGGCTCGCATGGCTCGCACCAGGCTAAACCTAATGTTAATAACCCTAACCCCAGTCCAGCAAAAGAGGGGTTTCACACACTCACAGACTGCAAATAGAGATACCTGTAACCCACTATCACTGGATTATGGCAGAGAAAAGTCCCAATGTTGTTTGTGATTCAAATAAGACAGCATGGAGATTAGATTGTGAAAATAACACATAGTTATAATGAAGTGTGACAAAGGCCTTGAGGGGCACAGGTAAACACCACCACAGTGATCTTGTATATCTGAGGCTGTGCAGTTGGGCACCAAAACCAGTACCAGACCGCTGGTGGAGACCACTCCACCAATTTACAGGGATAGCACGGATTGTGACTTGTGAGGTGGTGTGTGAAAGAGGGGTTCAACACACATATGCAAGGGGATCATCACATCCACACATGCTCAATTAGACGGACAACACGGTGGGTGCACGCCAATGGCCGGCGCTGGTGGCTGTGCGCGATCAATAACGGGCGCTTAAAGCCGCGACAATGACCAGCTCGTATCTCGACAAGCCTTCCGCCAATTTCGTTCAAACTTGGGGAATCAGTAGACATACATGTTAGCTTTCTGTGTGCGAAATATGATGCAGAATAAACATGTCTAAATACAGATATCCCATACCAAAAGGGGGGTGGTAGTGGAATCTGGTGTGGGGATGTTGAAGCATATGTAAAATTGGCAGCAACTGGCACTGACCACACCAGACACGCCAGGTGCCACATCCTGAGCACTTTGAACGACAACTCTGGGTCTCAACTGGTGGCAGATATGTATTTCAGACTGCGAAAAAGGGGGGAAGTAGGCAACTTTCTGACCTTCCAGTTGTCATAACCACCTTTGATGAGGTGGGAGTGAAGATCACGTCTAGACTCGAATCTCCATGTACAATCAGGTTTGCCAGGACGGATGCAACAACAGACGAGGAGGTCCTCCTTGTCTCTGGTGACGACCACCACAGCAGGTGTGGTGGATTTGGGGGAGAACACCACGTGGCAGGGTGCATTGATACAGACGTCAACGTGTTTATCGACGGAGCCCAATACATCGTTCGCACAGTATGGGCACGAGGTGGTGGGATGAGCCATGTGGATAGAAGATGATAGCTAGACGCCAGAGAAAGTGTGTGAGGTAGAAGTGGAGAAGAATTGAGAGAAAGCAAGCTCCTTTCTTGATCTTTGTTTTATACAAGCCATTTCCCACGCTCTCAACCACGGAATGGAGGTCACGACTGTGACATCACACTAGGAAATTTCCTCGCTCAGCACAGCCACCTTTTGGAGCACGTGCCAACCAGTGCCGATAAGAGTGGCCCCCTGGTGCCGAAAAGCTGTTAAATGCGGAGCTAACGTTTAAATGTGGATCAACGACAGGTAGCAGGACAACGTGAATCATCCCTATAACCAGCCCTCGATGTCGGGGCCATAAAACACTCCACAGATTTTGCTCACAGGTCGCTTCATTGAGTGTCACAGTCAGCAGTGCGCCTTCAGAAGGTCTTTAGCCCCCCTGAGACCGGTTGGAGGCATGTTTCTGACGAATCCCACAATAGAAAGATTTTGAAATCAACCACTCGACCACAACAGGTTCGCCAAGCGACCTGAGGTACTACGGCAATGCTCGTTCGTAGACATTGATGACTGACACAACTGTTATGCCACGTCTTCCGCCCTTCTTTATTGCCATGCGCAATTGCTCCAGGGCACCAGATGAAACGGCTGATTGAAAGGCGACATTTAACTCCGGCGTACTGCATACCCCCCCTACCTTGGGCCTCTTGCCGAGTTGGTACACAAACACGTACTCCTCCATACCGCATACATGATACCTTGGCTGGGGCTTGCACTAACACATGCCTGCTTCCTCCTGTTTCGATGATAGGTCCGGGGATCCAGGATCCATTAGATACGCGCCGTCGGACGCACCCAAAATACGTTGCCCAATCGCATTTGCATGCGCACGACATCCTCCGCTCGAACGGTTGCATGCTCGTCATGCTGCGACACGACGAGGCCGATGCTCGAACTACGTACCGTCGCGTAATGTTTGGGACGTTCCCTAGACGTATACACTATGACGGAGTTGACTATAGGCACGCGAGTGCACACGAAGGCACACTGGGTCACATGCGGGCGCTGCGTGTCGAAGCTAACGAGCGCCATTTGTCGAAGCTAACGAGCGCCATTTGTCGAAGCTAACGAGCGCCATTTGTCGAAGCTAACGAGCGCCAGTTGTCGAAGCTAACGAGCGCCATTTGTCGAAGCTAACGAGCGCTATTTGTCGAAGCTAACGAGCGCTATTTGTCGTTCCTAACCGGCGCTGCGCGTCGATGTTGGTCTCTGCAAACATACTACCATCTATGAATGAAACAGAGGGAAACCTAGCACATGAAGCACAAACGTGTGTGGGTGGGCGGCAGGTGGCTGGCCAGTGAGAAATGTAGGCACGTGCAATATCATACATGATCCGAGGTACTTGGACTAGCGCATTATAGAATTGTGCATCATTGGCGACAGACATCTCTGGAGATATACCAAAACACCATGAAGCCCCATGTTCACAAGAATACCAATCTGCATTTCTATAGTCCTCCATGGTGAGGCTTCACCCCATGTCTAGGGACCAGGCGCGTAACCCGGCAACTCGCCATCTCCTGTCAGCCAAAACCAATCGGCGTTCCCATAGTCGTCGATGGTGCGGCTCCAAACCTTGTCTTCAGACCAACACTCGGGCTCGTTATGGGGCTCCAAGCGTGGCGCAGAAACGTCCAGAAACAAGTCATGGTCGCCGAGGAGCTCCAGTGATGGAGGGGGGTTTTCGAGAAGTCTTTTTCGCATCAGTTCCAGGGGGGCCCGACGGTACGGTCCATTCATCATGTACTGGTACTTGGTGATGACGACGTGGAGATATTGCAAACGTCGGCGGCGAAGGACCTGGTCAGGAACACAATGAGGTGCTGTGAAACCATCGCACGACGAGGGGAAAGCACACACCATCTCAACGAACGCGTCTATGCCCTTCTGAGTTGCTTTGTCCACCTTCATCTGGAGTGCGAAGGCGGTGATGCCCAACGGAAGTTTCTCATCCAACCTCTTGACATCCGGCTCTGTGAACTGGCCTGTGACGTAGTGGGGCTGATGATACGAGAAGACCTCCAAGCCTGGAAGCGACGGCAGAAGTTCGATGATGCTGCAGGTGGGGACACAACCCTGTCTTGTGACAGCTGTCTGACTGTTCATGTTGGTAGGCGAGACCAAGAGACGCCGGAGCGTCGGGCGGTTGGCGAGGTACGCCGAGACGGTTTGGAACATCTCTTCCCAAGGAGGATGGGGTTCGGTCCTCTTTTTCTTAAGGCCAAGGAAGAGCTTGAAGCTAGAGAGGAAGGGTTGCTGCCCTGGCCGTAACACCGTAGAGAGATCATCCCTGAAGGACGACTTCAGGTTGAGGAAAAGGGCCAACTCCCGCAACTGGTTGCAGTGCGAGAGCAGGGACGAGAGGGGCTCCATCTCCAGGGAGTCGTACGTCAGATTCAACGAAAAAAGGTTATGGTTATGCACCGCCAACGTGTCCAGGACCTTGGTGAGGTTTGGCTGCCATGCGACCAACGAGAACGAAATCAACCCCACACCGATGGCACGTAAAGCCGCCTCCACGGCACCTGCAGCGAGCGTGTCAGATGGTGAACTTTGAGCGAATTCATGAGCACTCGCCGATCTCTTCAGGCTGCCTTGTAGAAGAGACAGAAAAAGCCTCCACTTTCATCGACCTCACCAGTCCGGCGAAGGACGGGGTTGCCACTATGTGGCGGAGCATGTTGAAGGTACGGCATGACTTGGCCACACTTTCTGACCCCTTCTCGCCCTTCTCTTCCTCCTGTTCCTCGTCCTCCCAGGTCCCAAAGCTGATCGTGATGTGACGGAAGAGCTGGGCCAGAGCAATGTCGTGCAAGTGGCGTGAAGCGAAAAGGCACGTGCGCTGATCCTCTCGCGAGACATCAAGCAGAATGGCATGGTACAGTTCGGAGGGGAAGGTGCGCGCCATTGTTTCGAGGGTGGAGGAAGGTGGGCAAGAGTGGGCAGATCGCACTGGAACCAGGAGGCTATTTAAACCACGATCAGATAACACATGCCAACCCGGATCACCATTGTGGCCTAAGGGAAAGGCTGTGCCAAATTCGTGGCTATTGTTTCCTAAGCAAACCAAGGACAAAAGAGAGAACTACTGCGCTTTGTGTCAAAGATGGAAACAATGCATGCTCTGTGGTCGCTTTGATCCAGCACGCGTGTTATTGTGGTTATATTACCGAGCGGTTGTGTATGGACCATGAGTCGCTGATGCATAGTACGTTGCAGTGTGGGCACGGACATTTTCGGGTCCCTCGTGCCTCTAGCCATTCAGTGTCATACACGTACCTACAAACCTGGGCTAACGGTTACATTTGTACATCATCGGCGACAGAACTCTCTGGAAGTACGCCCACCCCAATATTCATAGGTTCCAATGTCCTGTGAGCCAAAACCAATCCACATTCCCATAGTCGCGAACGGTGCGGCATTCGACCTGTTCTCCTTTCCAAAACGCCGACCATCGGGGTTGGTTATCAGGTGGTTAGCCTGGATTTAACAGCGTCGTGAACCCGCGTGTTCTGCCCAGTAGTTCTAGTGATGGTGGTGGTTTTCCAGGACTTCAGTCACCTTTGGCAGCCGTCCGAACCACGAGAACGAAACCAACCCCACGCCGATGGCACGTAGAGCCGCGTTGAGGGCACCTACAGAGAGCATGTCAGACGGTGATATTCCAGAGTATTCATGGGAACTCGCCGATCTCTTCAGGCTGTGTGATAGGAGAGGGAGCAAATGCCTCCACTGTCATCGACCTAACCACCCTGGCGAAGGACGGGGTCGATCGAGGTGGTGGGATGAGCCATGTGGATAGAAGATGATAGCTAGACGTCAGAGAAAGTGTGTGAGGTAGAAGTGGAGAAGAATTGAGAGAAAGCAAGCTCCTTTCTTGATCTTTGTTTTATACAAGCCATTTCCCACGCTCTCAACCACGGAATGGAGGTCACGACTGTGACATCACACTAGGAAATTTCCTCGCTCAGCACAGCCACCTTTTGGAGCACGTGCCAACCAGTGCCGATAAGAGTGGCCCCCTGGTGCCGAAAAGCTGTTAAATGCGGAGCTAACGTTTAAATGTGGATCAACGACAGGTAGCAGGACAACGTGAATCATCCCTATAACCAGCCCTCGATGTCGGGGCCATAAAACACTCCACAGATTTTGCTCACAGGTCGCTTCATTGAGTGTCACAGTCAGCAGTGCGCCTTCAGAAGGTCTTTAGCCCCCCTGAGACCGGTTGGAGGCATGTTTCTGACGAATCCCACAATAGAAAGATTTTGAAATCAACCACTCGACCACAACAGGTTCGCCAAGCGACCTGAGGTACTACGGCAATGCTCGTTCGTAGACATTGATGACTGACACAACTGTTATGCCACGTCTTCCGCCCTTCTTTATTGCCATGCGCAATTGCTCCAGGGCACCAGATGAAACGGCTGATTGAAAGGCGACATTTAACTCCGGCGTACTGCATACCCCCCCTACCTTGGGCCTCTTGCCGAGTTGGTACACAAACACGTACTCCTCCATACCGCATACATGATACCTTGGCTGGGGCTTGCACTAACACATGCCTGCTTCCTCCTGTTTCGATGATAGGTCCGGGGATCCAGGATCCATTAGATACGCGCCGTCGGACGCACCCAAAATACGTTGCCCAATCGCATTTGCATGCGCACGACATCCTCCGCTCGAACGGTTGCATGCTCGTCATGCTGCGACACGACGAGGCCGATGCTCGAACTACGTACCGTCGCGTAATGTTTGGGACGTTCCCTAGACGTATACACTATGACGGAGTTGACTATAGGCACGCGAGTGCACACGAAGGCACACTGGGTCACATGCGGGCGCTGCGTGTCGAAGCTAACGAGCGCCATTTGTCGAAGCTAACGAGCGCTGCGCGTCGATGTTGGTCTCTGCAAACATACTACCATCTATGAATGAAACAGAGGGAAACCTAGCACATGAAGCACAAACGTGTGTGGGTGGGCGGCAGGTGGCTGGCCAGTGAGAAATGTAGGCACGTGCAATATCATACATGATCCGAGGTACTTGGACTAGCGCATTATAGAATTGTGCATCATTGGCGACAGACATCTCTGGAGATATACCGAAACACCATGATGCCCCATGTTCACAAGAATGCCAATCTGCATTTCTATAGTCCTCCGTGGTGAGGCTTCGCCCCATGTCTAGGGACCAGGCATGCGACCAGGCAACTCGACATCTCCTGTCAGCCAAAACCAATCGGCGTTCCCATAGTCGTCGACGGTGCGGCTCCAAACCTTCTCTCCAGACCAACCCTCGGGCTGGTTATGGGGTTCCAAGCGTGGCGCAGAAAGGTTCAGAAACAAGTTATGGTCGCCGAGGAGCTCCAGTGATGGAGGGGGGTTTTCGAGAAGTCTTTTTCGCATCAGTTCCAGGGGGGCCCGACGGTACGGTCCATTCATCATGTAGTGGTACTTGGTGATGACGACGTGGAGATATTGCAAACGTCGGCGGCGAAGGACCTGGTCAGGAACACAATGAGGTGCTGTGAAACCATCGCACGACGAGGGGAAAGCACACACCATCTCAACGAACGCGTCTATGCCCTCCTGAGTTGCTTTGTCCACCTCCATATGGAGTGCGAAGGCGGTGATGCCCAACGGAAGTTTCTCATCCAACCTCTTGACATCCGGCTCTGTGAACTGGCCTGTGACGTAGTGGGGCTGATGATACGAGAAGACCTCCAAGCCTGGAAGCGACGGCAGAAGTTCGATGATGCTGCAGGTGGGGACACAACCCTGTCTTGTGACAGCTGTCTGACTGTTCATGTTGGTAGGCGAGACCAAGAGACGCCGGAGCGTCGGGCGGTTGGCGAGGTACGCCGAGACGGTTTGGAACATCTCTTCCCAAGGAGGATGGGGTTCGGTCCTCTTTTTCTTAAGGCCAAGGAAGAGCTTGAAGCTAGAGAGGAAGGGTTGCTGCCCTGGCCGTAACACCGTAGAGAGATCATCCCTGAAGGACGACTTCAGGTTGAGGAAAAGGGCCAACTCCCGCAACTGGTTGCAGTGCGAGAGCAGGGACGAGAGGGGCTCCATCTCCAGGGAGTCGTACGTCAGATTCAACGAAAAAAGGTTATGGTTATGCACCGCCAACGTGTCCAGGACCTTGGTGAGGTTTGGCTGCCATGCGACCAACGAGAACGAAATCAACCCCACACCGATGGCACGTAAAGCCGCCTCCACGGCACCTGCAGCGAGCGTGTCAGATGGTGAACTTTGAGCGAATTCATGAGCACTCGCCGATCTCTTCAGGCTGCCTTGTAGAAGAGACAGAAAAAGCCTCCACTTTCATCGACCTCACCAGTCCGGCGAAGGACGGGGTTGCCACTATGTGGCGGAGCATGTTGAAGGTAGGGCATGACTTGGCCACACTTTCTGACCCCTCCTCGCCCTCCTCTTCATCTTCATCTTCCTCTTCCTCTTCCTCTTCCTCCTCTTCCTCTTCCTCCTCTTCCTCTTCCTCCTCTTCCTCGTCCTCCCAGGTCCCAAAGTTGATCGTGATGTGACGGAAGAGTTGGGCCAGAGCAATGTCGTGCAAGTGGCGTGAAGCGAAAAGGCACGTGCGCTGATCCTCTCGCGAGAGACCAAGCAGAATGGCATGGTACAGTTCGGATGGGAAGGTGCGCGCCATTGTTTCAAGGGCGGAGGAAGATGGGCAAGAGTGAGCAGATCGCAAGTACTGGGAGCAAGAGGATATTTATACCAAGATCAGATAACCTAACCAACCCCGATGGCCATTTTGGGAAAAGGGAAAGACCATGGTCGGACAGTCGGCTTCCAGTCAGAGACCTTCGGATGTGCCTGATCCACTGAATACTCCGAAGTCCAGTCGCGGAAAGCGCCTCACTGTCGCCGAACCGGGATTTCTGCTGTGTGGGGGGGGGGGGGCTCGGGCCCATGCGCTCAGACTCGCACTGCACATCGCCCGGCGGTGCGCAAGGTCGGCCCGGTACGCCTTGTGTCCGCTCACCTCCTCGAAAAAGGCCTATGAGTATTGGCCGGCTATACGTGGGCAACCCCGCGCAACACTTCCCTTCTCGCGCGAGGGCACACACACACCGGTGCTACAGTGCACTCCTCGCCTTCGGCTCACCACCCCGGAGCGTGTGCGCATGCGTTAAAGCTTAACTGAACGGGATCTTCAATGGCACATGCCCTGCGGGACTGACTATATAGTACCCCACTATCGCGACGGGGTAACTTCCTCCCTTGCCTTCAGCTAATCCTTGAAATCCACACCACCAACACACGCGAGAGCATGTCCAGAAAAGCTCCACACACCCCTTTGCAGCACACACTCCAGTTTTTGCAGTATGGCTGTAAGCATTTTATAAAATACTCAAATATCTGCCCAACGTCGCATCTCGAGGGCCAAAGGCCCACACACGCCGTGACAACGCCGTAGGTGAGAAGTGGTGAAACTTGTTGATGAGTCAAAATGGAGTACAACAACATCGGAAACCTGCTGCTGCCCTAACACCCTAACCGAGTCCCTGTGGTGTGTTGGTGAGATAACAGATAGCTGGGGATGAAGTGGGGAAAGAGCCTACTGCATTGAACGTCCACACTAAATGGTGATCAGACCAGGCTGCCCTTCCAAGGTGATCACACGTTGGGCGACGAAGGGGAGGTGACAGATGACCATTTCCAGTTCGATGAGCCTTTCTGGGTGGATTTGCCAGGTGATGGTGGGCAGGGGCGTAGGCTCGCCGGGGGCAGAGGGCGCCTGGGAGTGAAACTCGGGGATCTCCAAAACGCCACGTGTGGACCTCCAGAACTGCAGGATGGCCCTTTGCAACAGGTCCAAGACGTGGTCGGGCTGGACCAGGGGGTCATAATATTTCTTGGCGTCTCTAGTGAACTCGAGCTCCCATGTGACGATGGCGACTTCGTATTCCTTTCGGCGTGCTTCCAAGCGGGCTAACGTACCCTCCACTAAGGTCTTGTTACTGAAGGATTCCCAAACTTCGCGATCGAGGGGGGGCGCCCGGAGGTTCTCTGGGAGGGCGTCAGAGGTCTCCCAGCCGTCTTGTACCAGCGCTTGCAGCTTGTTGATGGTGTCGACGGCCAAGGCGTGGGACGATGCCAGCTCCACGATGCGCTTGAGCACTGTGGTGAGGGGCCGGTGATACAGCTCGGGAAAGAGTCGGATCATGTGCTCGATGGAAGGTGAGGCGTTAATGGCCTCACGGAGATTATGGGAAGGTGTAGAGGTGGAGGACATGGCCAAGGACTGGGGTGATGGTGACGGAATGCCAGTGTGCATGGCCGCTGAGTTTATACTGTTCTCTGACCTCCAAGCTGGGGGTAAATCACTGCCCTTTAACGGGTGATGACTCACACGCTCAAAAACACGTGATGAAACCTTAGTCACAGGAAAGACGTCAGCGGATTTTTCGGCATGTTGAACGTGTGGATACAGGCCTATGATTTACATACCCGCTGCTGTTCCGATCACCTAGCGGCATTCCGCACATACCAGCGCAACTCCCTTCCGCCCTGGTTGGAAGATCTGCCGCGTCCGGCAAGAAAGCCTGCACACCCCATCGCTCTCACTTTATCTCATGGGATCGCCCAACAGCCCCCATTCGAGCAGATACCCAAAAAAAATTAAACTACGTCGAGCCGCAAGACAGTGAGCCACCTGTGACTACTGTGACATCACGCCAGGAAATTTCCTGGCTAAGCACAGCCACCTTCTACCAGGCACAAGGTCAAGTTGTCGTGGGTGCCCGACCCCTACATCAGCATTAATTCGGCGAGGTAAGGGGCCCAGGCATATGAATGCCCGGGTTTTTATTTTCCGACGGAAGGGACCGACGGATGGGTACATGCGTAGATAGACGCGGGAATGAAAGAAAGAGCATATTCTGGGTGGGCATAGTGAAGGGTAGCTCAAAAAACACTCGGCTCGCGTCTAGCAGGAGCACAGAAAGGTGTCAGCAAAACTGGACGAGCGCGAGGGGGGGCCGGGCCGGCTCACCTGGCAGCACCACGGAAAGCTTGGGCTGGCACAGATCCGCCTCCCACCCTTTCGAAGTCCCGCCCGGTGGGGGGGCTCATGGGGGCGGGTTCTAGTTTGTCCACCCCAGAGGCTTCTCGCCGTGACAGTCGGACATCACGTATGTATTAAGGTGAGGCCGCGTCGCGGCCTCGTCCCCGCCCCCGTCTAAGCCTCTACAGCAGCTCCCAGCAGCAGCGTGTCGTAAGTATTCAGCAGACCCGTCCTCAGCGACTTCCCGCGCATCACACAGGTGCAAGTTCGCCTTCCGCTTATGGTCAACGATCGGAAGTTAGTTACCACGTACGAGGAGGCCCCCCACGAACTGGTGGCTGTGGGGTCAGTGACTTGGTCAGTACCTTGGAAGGCGGTGGGCGAGACGCAGAGCACAAACGACCAGGCGGAGTACTCGGCGTCCTCGAGCTTGTGAAAAACCGCTAGCACATCCACAGCGAGCCTCTTCCGTACGGATGTGAGGGCGTCGTGGGTGCGTCGTGGGATTGAAACAGATGCCTATTGATCGTTTGCTACCGACCCAGGCAGGAATGTTTCTTATCCAACAGCTGAGCAGACTGGGGGCAAGCGCGCAACAGCAGTATAATTCGAGCGACAGAAAAAATGCGCAAATGACAACAACAACAACAAATACATCAAGGCCTTACGGCCAGGAGGACCCTGTCCCCGAGCAACCACAGCAGGCCAGTCACTCCTTCTCGACGTCCTTCGGGACGTCCTCCGGGACGAAGCCGTCGGGGAGAGGGATGTCGGGGGCCGACCACACCTCGAGCGCGTGCCAGCAAGGCACTATTTTCGGGTGGGCCCTCAGGGCCGTCTCGTACGCTTCCTCTTCTTCGGGGATGACCTCCACCGCGAGGCGCATCCAGTTGGAAGTGAAGGGGATGGTGACGGGGCGCGCGCTGGCGACGCCGTTCCCGACGTCCGCAGGCGGCACGAGGCCTGACGAGGGGGTGGGTCGTGATGAGGACTGTCAAGCTAACTTTGAAGCACTCACCAAGGAGGTTGTCCACAGTAAACCACTCCACCTCTGTGGACCAGAAGCGGAGATTAGGAGGGTGGTCCTTTGACAAGAAAATGGTATTGAACCTGGTGAAAGTGGTCAGTGTGGCAGAGAAGGAGAGGATGTGGCTCTCACTCCTCATCCTGTTTGGCGTCAAAGGGACGGAGGACGTTGTGGCCCACGATCTTGAGGTCAACCAAATCGTGGATATTCTCCACGGAGAACGCCCAGGCTAACCCGACGTACTCGATTTTCTTGGCCACGTCAAACATAGAAGTGAGAATGAGAGACAGTAACGTACTTCTTTGGCCCTGGGGTGGACGGCCCGGATGGAGTGGGTGCGGACTGGGTGCTGGGAGGAGTAGTCGACGAGGATCGCGATCCACGCGTCGGGAAGCTTTTTAGACGGGGTTTCATCGAAGCCGTTGACCACGAGCACACTGGGAGACGGACAACATCGTGTTGAGCGTGGGTTGGAGGCCCCAGCGAGGGGTGTTACTTACATGTCACCGGCGGCGTAGATGGTGCCATTGTAGATGAACGGCCGAGTGGGGCATGCACCGCCTGCGTCGTCGCTGTGTATTGTATTGTAAGTCACCCGAGTGAATACCTAAAGGTGAAGCTCACAGGAGGGTTCGAAGAACCGGGTTGGTGGCCATAATCCTCTTGTAGGTGAGGCGAGGGCCAGGAAGCTCAGTGCGGGACGGGAGGACAATGGCTTCGGACATGGTGGGAGTGTGGGGGTCGGTTGGTAAGGGGAGCCTGAGACTTTATATATAGGTAGCGTAGGTAGGAAGCGCCGGATGACGAACCTAACCACGTGCGATTGATTGGGGGACGCAGATAAGCTGAAGAACAATAGAGGGATGAGCGCTCTGGGATGAGAATAAGCACGTGGGGGTGGGATGGATATGCACTTAGCCGCATATACCGCCCATACCTTGGGCGTCCGGTGTTGGTACGGGGCGTCAGGCGTACTCGCTGCACACGGCATACAGCATATCAACACTAACTTGTGCTTTAGAGACCCATTCGTATTGGACGCAGCCTGGAAAGGTCAGCAGCATCCTTTGTGCTTGATGACCCTCTCAAGGCCCACGTGGTTGCGACTAGAACAAAGGCTACATTGCGTCGAAGACTATATGCCCCACGTCATTGTCAACATGAACGGTACCGCCCACGGCTTTGTCGACAGAAATTGCACGGCCTGCTGCCGACTTGAGTCCTCACTGGTCCGCCCATATGCCCGCGATGCGCCCTGTGCCAACCGGCATCCTTGCAGACACAGTCTTCCCCAGCCTTGTCTCCTAGCCCATAAGAGAAGTTACCTGGCTCCACCTCATCCCTTGGCAGGATCATACAGTGTAAGTACCGCCCTTGGCTCGCCATCCGTTCGCGTCGCCGGCGCTCTAAAAGGGCCCCTGCCCCTTCTATCACGAACTCCAAGATGCCTCCAAAGACTTACCCAACCCCCTCTCGCTCCACACGGACAACAAAGTCCGCCGCCGCCCCCGTCGCACTGTCTACCGATGACCTCGCCGACAAGCTCGCCACCAAGCTCACAATATCGAATGGAAAGGCGAAGGCCAACTTACCTGTCGAGCTTACTCTAGAAGAGCGCAAAGCAGGCGCGAGGCGCGCTGTGAATGCGGCCTCCAAGAGCCTCTCCGCCGTCCTCGAGACGGGCTGGAAAACCGGCTCTGAGGCGAAGCCTACCGTCGATGGCACCACTGCAACTTCCGTCACGAAGCACGCGGAAGGAGCTGGGGACTCTTCGGATGTTGGATCCTAGACAGGTCGATGTCGAGAGGGCAGCGTCGACCGTGATGGGAAAGCTCGTTGGTCTCAACATGGTGCGTCCCTCGCTTCTCTCCATCCACGCCCCCTGACGCTTGCATAGTATCATGCGGCCCTCGGTCTGTTACAAGACATGTATCCTTTCTGTACTAGCCAAGACGATGCACCGTCAAGCACTTCCCCGTTGACCCTCCTCGCCCTTCCCATTCCCAATGTCCACATTTCAGACATCCATCTAGCTCTCATCTCTGCCTATCATGTACATGCGCTCGAAGTCCTCTCTCACACCACAACCGACCGTGCTGCTCTTGCCTCAGCCCTACTCGACCCAAACAGCCCCACGATTTTGACCTGGTCCCCCACATTCTCTGCACTCTCGGAGAAACAGCACGACCATCTCTTTACCCGCGCATACTCCCTAACGCCGTCCCCCTTGCCTCCTCAATACTATACACCTGCCATCAACAGCATACTCCCTCCGTATATCTGCGCTCCTCTGTCTCGCGTGTACGCGCCCCTCTGTCATCACCCCATCCACGTTCTGGGAACAAGCTGTCAAGTTCGCCGCCATGTACGCGAACGCCGCCTCGTCGGAGCCCAAAGAGCACGCGGGACATGTGACGACGTCCTTCGCGCGGCGCAGGCTCGGCCGGACGCGGCGGAGATCATGGCGTGACCAGTGTTGGCCCGTTTCTGCGAGTACTGGAGTCGTTTCGCGAAGCAGGTGAGTACTGGCCCACGCGCGATTGGACGTCTGGCTAAGGGACGCGTCCAGGCTGGTGCTACGCTTGAAAGCATCGGTCGCTTTGCGCAGCCGACAGGGGCCGCATACGCCTCGGAAGAGGACCGTAAGGTCATCGAAGCTTCGGACTTGGCAACGACGCTGGCCCGCGCGCTGGCTGTCTTCGAGCATTGGCAACGTGGGATGGTTGCTATTGAGGGCTGCGAAGTGTCGTTGACCCCCCGTTCCATAGAGCATGGATCCGATTTCGCCTCAAAGCTTTCTGAAGGGTCTGCGGCAATCAAGCGATATGGGCCCATACTCGCTCAAAGTGCGAGCCATGCCGAGCGCGTCAAGCGTGGGGTAGAACGCTTGCGCCGCGCTTCGATGAAAGTGCTTGAACCCTCTCGGTCCGACACTACGAACTATCCACCTGAAGTCAGGGCCACTTGCCGCACGATCCTCCAAGGTGCTGTTGACGCTATTTGTGAAGCAATAATGACGGTAAGCTTTTCATGGTCTTGCATGGATTGTTTGTTGACAATCATGCATAGCACAATACTCGAACCACGAATCTTCTTGGACTCTTCCTGGAGGGCCTCTTAACTGTTGCACGGACATCTTTCGCTCTGAACAACCGTGACACATACGCAACTGCACGATCACTTCTTTCACGAGCACGATCTCTGCTACCCTCATCACCATTATCCGAGGGATCCATCTCTCCAATATCCGCAGCATATTATACGCGTTGCGTGGCCGCAGTCCACTATTATCTGGCTGGAAAGCTTCACCACAGCGGTCGATATGACCATACCGCCCTTTTTGTCGAGGAAGCGTGCACTCTAGGTAAACAGGCATTGGATGAGTACCACGAGGTCAAGACCTCTAGTACCACCATGGACGTCGACGGAGAAGCTGCATGCAAAGAAGAGCCTTGGAAACAGCTCGAGGAACAGCTGTTCCATCGCTGGGAACTGTTGGGGGTTTGCCATGTCAAGACCGGCGATCGCAGGGTACGTGTACTTTACTTTATGCATATACCTCCGGCTTACACACTATCCAGTCTGCGTACGATGCATTCGTCAGAGGGTTCCCATTCGCGAACCACGACCTGGTGGGCCTCGCGCGCAAGACGCCTATCGTGCGGCTCTTTGAGAATCCTGCGCTGAAGCAGCTCGGCGTGCTCGTCGACCGCGTGACGTACGTCGCGGCGTGCGAGCTTCTCCTCCTGCCGACCGCCGTTTCCTCCCTCTCGTGGTTCTCCGATGATGGAACTAGTATGGAGCGTAAATGCATCTATGGGGCGCTTATAGAGCGGCAGATCGCAAGCTTGGAAGAAAGCAAGTGGAAGCCGGGCGTCAGGGACGTGTTGAGGCAGCTCGTGGACGACGGCTTGCTACGCTGTGCGAGCCTCCCTCGGCGGTGGGCGTGCGGTGAAAGATCTCCAGGCTGCGGCCCTGCGAAGCGTGCGACGTGAGGCGCCGCGAAGGCCGCGCCACGCCCGAAGATCGCGGTAACGCGGACGAGGGCGCCGAATGAAGCTCTGTGACCGGGCCCACCACATCGCCTACACTGACACACGCGATTCTTACACCTGGTAGGCCCTGGAATGAAATGTTTCTCGCGTATGCGCTGTCGGATGGCCCTAAAATGGGTGGACCAGTCGCACTTGCAGGCGCACGACTTCCTCCGCTCGAACTACGTGCCGTCACGTAACATTTGGGGACGTTCCCTAGACGTATACACTATGACGGAGTTGACTATAGGCACGCGAGTGCACACGAAGGCACACTGGGTCACATGCGGGCGCCATTTGTCGAAGCTAACGAGCGCCAGTTGTCGAAGCTAACGAGCGCCAGTTGTCGAAGCTAACGAGCGCCAGTTGTCGAAGCTAACGAGCGCCATTTGTCGAAGCTAACGAGCGCCATTTGTCGAAGCTAACGAGCGCCATTTGTCGAAGCTAACGAGCGCCATTTGTCGAAGCTAACGAGCGCCATTTGTCGAAGCTAACGAGCGCTATTTGTCGAAGCTAACGAGCGCTATTTGTCGAAGCTAACGAGCGCTATTTGTCGAAGCTAACGAGCGCTATTTGTCGAAGCTAACGAGCGCATTTGTCGAAGCTAACGAGCGCTATTTGTCGAAGCTAACGAGCGCTATTTGTCGAAGCTAACGAGCGCCATTTGTCGAAGCTAACGAGCGCCATTTGTCGAAGCTAACGAGCGCCAGTTGTCGAAGCTAACGAGCGCTATTTGTCGAAGCTAACGAGCGCTATTTGTCGAAGCTAACGAGCGCTATTTGTCGAAGCTAACGAGCGCTGCGTGGTCTTAGCGTGTTCGAGATGCGAGGCCTACAATTGCGCCACAGAATGTGTATTGTGATGAAATGCTACGCGTAAAGAGGGTCCCATACGTCTAGCGTGCTGGCTGTCAGCGACCGCTGGTGCTTGCGTCTAACCCATTCCGGAAGACGGAGGGTAAATTCAGTCAGTGCAACGATCGCAATGTGAGTGTCCATGACCCCGAACATCGTGACACCCCAACTCCTTTCGACCTCGTTGACGACGTAGTTGAAAGCACCGCCAGGTTGGCGCATGACGCCGATGTCGATGCGTGTGAAGGCGGTGAGATCCGACGATCTGGTGGGAGATGAGGCTTCCTCACGCTTGACGAGATCTTCATACGTTTTGCGGGCAAACTCCTTCAACTCTTCTAGACCCCTGTCGGCATGGTCAGCGTGCCGCTTTGGGTTGACCCAGCCGTACGACGGTCGTTCCTTCGTTTTCTCTTGGTCCTCCAATGATTTCCTATACGGTTGTGGTGAGCGAAAAAGCTTGTGGGGGCCAGAAAAACACGGACTGGAGCATATGTAGTGGCATCACGCCCCCGACCGACTGTGACGATGTGTCGTCGTTTGCGTACCCGATCATCAGAGAGGTGTCGGTGTGGACCGTATACTGGTGGGTGCCGTGGATGAAGTAGCACCTGATCTCACCGAGAATCCTGAGAGTGTCGACGTAGTCTTGCATGAGCCACGCCCGGGAGGCCAGTGGCGGGGCAGTGGCGTTAGGTTTTTCCCACAGACTTCCCCAACGATCGACGGGGTTCTTGTTGACGTCAGTGCAGACGTGCTCCCCCCAACCACTGTGTCCTCGTTTGATGACCTTCCCATCGACGTAGGAGTAGCCAAAGACTATGGGGGACGTGCGTGGCCGTGGCGCCTTTGCAATGGCGTCGAGGTTCTTGATGAGCGCAGCCTTGCCACCGTAGACTAGGCCTTCTGAGGGGTCTGGCCAGACGACAGTGTAGTCCATGATGGTGATCAAGTTCCCCATGTATGTGGCAACGTGGTGCGGCGGGAGGAGAGACCTGATGGTGTGTGAGACGATGTGTATGAATAGTAGAGTGACCTCACGTGTAGTCGCCCGTGAAGTCGACACCACCCACGACGAGCTCGGCGTGGTTGACGAGGGTCCAAACGTCCCGAGTGGCCGCGGAAGCCTGGGGGTCAAGCATCGCTGCGAGGAAGTCCGAAAAGGGTACAAATTTGACCTCAAACAGATCACGGTGGGTGTTTAAGACGTGGGGGACCATCAACTGAGATTATCGGTGGGTTGTGGGTGAGTACAAGTACCCAGACATGTGAAACGAGAACTCACCCAGTCCCACATGTGTGCAATGCCCCCATCCTTGGTATCAGGGTGGTAGTAAATGGAATTGTCTTCGCCCGTGGTGAATATGTGCCGTGGGAATGCGGACTTGAGGGCGACGAATTCTTCACGGGTGAGATTGATGTCGATCCAGCTTGTTAGTCCTTGAACCGCGTCGGGAACGACTTGGTTGAAGTCGTTGTTGTGCTCTAAACCCAGTTGCGATTCCTCGACGACAACCACACGCATGGGGCGGCCATTGGGCTGGGGGTGCTGCAGGTTGGAGCCCTGGGGCAGGCGGCTGGAGGAGGGCTCAGCGGGTGATGGCGAGCGACGTATAGGTTCGCGACGTTGCTTGGGCTTTCGGTGACGAGGCCTGGCGGGTTCGCGAGAGGGCTTAACGGATGAGGGGTCGACGGAGGTGGATGCGCGCGGGGTGGGCGAAGCCAGTGGCGCTGGCGCGGGTAATGATACGGCTGAAGAAGACGCAGCCTGATTGGATGGCGTGGCAACAGGCGGGGCGGGAGGAGTGAACGACACAACGGGAGTAGGCAAAGCTGTAGAATGACTTAAGGGAGACTTCATGGGAGCGATCAAACAACCTAGGTTACCTAAGAGCTCGTCGAGTAACTGCATCTGGTATAACGCAGATTTGGTTTTGCGAGACCGGCCGGTGTTGGATTTTTTTAGAACTGCGATGTATTTCTGCAAGTCATGCTGACTCAAGTATTGTCGTAATTGTTGAGCAGACAACAACTCGACATAATAGGTTTTGCCTTCCAGGTCGGCCACTTGCAGTTGACGGACGCAGTCGCAATTTGCTTTGTGAGGAGAGTCGACGTGGCGCTTTGCCGTGGCTTTGGGCAGGGGAGAAGCGTGTCCTCGTTCTGAACATGTATGGGGGCACCACATATAGCACTGGCTGGGCGTCTCAGAATACGGGAGGGTAGTCATGGTGTTGAGGGGGCGGGCTAGGTGGCGAAGGCGTGGGAAAGGGAGGCCAGGAGGCGCGACAGAAAGGGGGAGTGGGGAAAGACTTGAAGACGCTGCAGGCGCGGCAGTTAAAAGTGGGAGATCGCGCGCTTGATGACGAAGATAAGGAACATCGCGGGCCGCTCTGGGACGTATTGAAGTCAGGACCGGCGCAGTAGCCGGAATAGGCGCCGTCTTGGGGATAAAAGGAAGGACGAGCGCGTGTCGTGCCAGGCCCCAGCTTTTGTTCTCCCCACCTCATCAGTGCCGCAATGACTTCCACGCGTCCCATGCGACAGACGGCCGAGGAGGCCCGGGTTATCATGAACAAAACCCTGACGGAAGAAGGTATGGGCGACGCTGACTGGGAACAGCTCCACATGGGGACCCCATCAGAGCGGCGGTCCTCCAAACGGTCGACGCCCGACGTCAACCCCGGTGGGTGACATGTATCTGCACGTGTGGAGGTAATCTAATTACCGTGGGAGCAGAAGCGGCAGGCATGGGCGACGGCTCAAGCGAGGTCTCCGAGAGACCGACCAAAAAAGCAAAAAGAGAGAAGAAGAAAAAGGGCAACGATGAGGCGTTGTGGCCGTCCACGACCCCCGGGATTCCAGTGTGGGGTACGTCAACCTCATCCCGTGGCCGGCTCACGACTGACCAAAACACAGATTCCCATGCCTTAGAGCAGGACGGTACATACAAATTTGTGCCTGGCGATGTTCACTCTCGGCAGTTCAAGGCGCACAGCAAGCGAGGGTTTGACCGGGCGAATAAGTTGCTTGCCAACTTGAACCGGTTCGGTACGTCGACGTCGTTATTCCGAAGCGTCGCAAGTGAGTCTCACTCTCGTTGATTGCGCACACAGTCACAGACTGGGAGGCGGAATGCCGAGATGAGGAGGAACAGGGGTCTGAGGCCGAACCGCAAGACACAAACGAGAAGGGAAAGGGACGGGCTTAACAGGGCGATGACGTGGACCGCTGTCGGGTTCCCCGTTGTAATAAGCTCCCACAGACTACTACAACGTCCGCGCTGCGCACGCGACCTTTGTAGTGGACGGGCCGGAACCTGAGCACTAGTTGGCTATCATCCTATTTCACTTCTCTTTTCATTCTCTCTTCATCGCATTTCACTAGATCGCGTTCCACTCGTTCTACTGTAGCTTCCGTCGCACCCTACGGGCCGAACCGATGCCTCGATAGCCCACTCGAACGACGTCGGGACGATAGGTCCGGGGCGGGACAGATGCACGCGACCGCGGCGGAACGGGGGCGGCCTGTGCTTCGTAAATAATCGCTGTGCGCTGTTCTCACCCCACTCGAGGCATTCCCCGACGTACCTCAAGCAGCGCCGGAATCGATGGTGGAGGGGAACGCAAGGACGGTGCGCGGACGAGACCTCAGCCATGGACTCTGGACCCGATTTGGACTGTATGCGCTCTTCCCTCAGTTTCTGTTCGCTTTCTATGTGACGTTGCTCTCTTAAATGTACGGCTCAGGCCCCACGCAATGTAGTTCCCCTTTCCCTCTATCTCTCTATCTGTCAGTCCGTCCGTCGCCCGTTCGCCCGTTCGCCCGTCCGCGTAGTCGCCCACCGCCGAGACGCGTTATCTCTCTCTCCCTTCCTTCCTCTTCTCTCATATCACTCGCCGACATCCATCGACTTGGGACGACACACTCCAACACCGCACTTAACCGTATGCATGTGCTGTTGAGCTCGCTGTAGAATGTGAATATGCATGGGGGATGGGGCTATGTGTCGAAGCTAACGAGCGCTCATTGTCGAAGCTAACGAGCGCCATTTGTCGAAGCTAACGAGCGCCATTTGTCGAAGCTAACGAGCGCCATTTGTCGAAGCTAACGAGCGCCATTTGTCGAAGCTAACGAGCGCCATTTGTCGAAGCTAACGAGCGCTATGTGTCGAAGCTAACGAGCGCTCATTGTCGAAGCTAACGAGCGCCATTTGTCGAAGCTAACGAGCGCTATTTGTCGAAGCTAACGAGCGCTATTTGTCGAAGCTAACGAGCGCTATTTGTCGAAGATGCCATCACTGCCTCGCACCAAGAACGTGGGGATCCTCCACCAACATGTGCTCCACGGAAACACCGAAAACATCACTAGGCTCGTCTCCAGCATTACAGGCTCGACTGCGCTTGAATCGGAACGCATACCGTGCCGGCCGCACAAGGAAACACCGACGTGGTCGTGGGGATGGCGAAATTGATGTGGGCCGCGCTGAACGCAGCTCCCTCAGAATACGGTCGAGGACCTGGATGGTAAGCGAGGATTCTCTCGCGCCCAAGCTTTCGACTTTTGAACAAAACCTGGGACGGTTGCTCGCAGTTGGCGAAGAGCGGGACCACGAGCGTGAGCAGTGGACGGACCGAGTGAATAGTAGGCTTGATATACCATCATGATATACCTGTGCTGAACTCCAACCGCCGCGGCATACGCGCATTTGAATGAGGCTGACGATGTGCGAGCTCGATTGAGGGCCGGCCAAGCACAAAGTAACGCAAGCTTGCAAGGTCGCTCACCTGAGGGCCTTGGGGTTGCACGGCCGTCCTTTATGAAGCGGTGCACTTACATTCAACGCTTTTCCGTTTGCATCGTCCAAACGCACACATGCACACGCCGTCAAGGTATTCAAGAAAAACGAGGCGAGCAGATATAACGCGAGCGACCCAGCACTACCGATATGCATGTATGTGACAATTTAAACCTCGACGCTGTCTTGCTGCTGCTCCTGCTGCTGCTGCTGCTCCTCCTCCTCCTGGCCGTCCGCGTCCTCGTCGGCGTCAGCGCTCATGGTGACGCGGCCCTGGCGGCGGCGCTTGCGGGGTGGCTCGTCTTCGGGCTCGTCCTCAGACTCCGAATCCGCGTCCTGGTGCAAGCGCAGGGGCGGCAGCACGTTGGGCTGCATGATGGTGGTGACCATGTGAACGTTCTGCCGCTTCATGGGGGGGACGCGGGGCACGTTCCTACCGTCCTTTGCACGCACTGCAGCATAAACCCCTTCGGGGGAGATGTTGAGGCTGAGCCAGGGGCCGGAAAACGGGATCTGAAAGAGCGCGTCCCCAACCGTGCCGTCCCCAATTTCGGCAGGGTTAGCCAGGCCTACATGAACCGTCAGGTAAGGGCGATATTGAAGATGCGGCATAAACTCTGACCTATGAGGTGCGACAGAGGGTACCACTCCACCTCATCGCTGAAGTATCTCACGTTGTCGCGGACGTCGGTGTCGATGAGGTTTTTGAGGCTGTAGGAATGGTTACATCGTGTAGGGAGGAAAAATCGATGTGCGTACCTGTTTTCCTCCATCGCATTGTTGATCATGATGTGGCGATGGTGTTCGATCCCACCGCGCAAGAGTTTACGTATGTCTTTGACGCTGTACGCCCAAGCAACGCCAATGACGCGCATGTCCTGTACGAATGTGAGCGAAGTACCTGGTGTGCGCCGTGATGAAACCACTCACTTCTCCAGGTTGGCCGTGCGTCAAGTTGAGCTTGCCGTTGTCGTCCCAAATCCACGTGACCGAGTAGTCAAGAATGACTGCGACCCACTCCTTACCCCGCTTGGGTGGGGGACCGTCCTGGACTGGGTTCATGTAGACCCTGTGGCAGGTCAGACGTGAAGTGCAGGAATTAGGGGCATGAGACCGTACCAGTCACCCATACGATAAACCGTGCCTTTGAAGTCAAAGCAATGCGTGGTGACACCCCCCAGCCCAGAGAGCCTGCAGGGGGAATGAGCACTCTGTGACTACGGCGGGTCAAGCAGACTTACGCCGTGCGGTGGAGGGTGCGAGTGGCCGTGAGCTGGGAAGCCCACGTGAGGCGAGGTTCACGCCCAATGGATGTGTTATGTGGTTTGATGACACCAGTGAGGAGGAGGGGCGGGTTGCGGCTGGCCTCGTCGTTTATGTACCGGATCTGAGATCGGGATGAAGTCATGGTGAGGGGAGTGGAAGAGGTGCGAGGCGTGATGCGGAAGAAAAAGCGAGGCTATATATATGTATGGGTCGGGCGCTCAATGGCGAAGATAAGGTCGCACGCCTGATCGGATAGAGAACAAAGGATCAATGTGCGCCTAAAACGAGACAATACAGCCGCGGGCGCTCTGGGATGTAATTAAGCTCACGGCGGCGATCTGGGACGCAGATCTCTCCGTACGAATGCTGTCCCGTTTCGGCGTGGCCCACATGTGGAGCTTCGGAAGGCTAAAAGGAATTGGTTGCGTAACACGACGGGCGATGCGGAATACCTGGCTGGCGGAAATGCGGACGAAAGTTGGTACAAAGCATACCTGTCGTCCAGCTGGGCGCCTGTATATCTGATAGGTCGATTGTTTAACAGTCAGCCGCATTTCGTGCCGGTCAAAGTAAACTGTGCACCCGCCTTGGTCTTTTGCACGATGTCGTGCAGATCGAAATCGCGCGAGTCGTGAGCTGCGTAAGGTGGGGACGTGTGTGCGCGCAAGTGCGTCCTGTATGACGGGGCACCAGGACATGCGGACATTTAACTTTCGACCAACACAAACGTGCGCACGTAGGCGTCCACCCGGACGAAAGCAATGATTTCTACCGCACTTCGGCCACATTCCTCCTGGCAGACATCCTGTATTGTCCATCGTGTAACGCATGATCTGAGCATTTAGTTGTGATGGGCCAGTAGGCACGTGGGCGCGCTCTGTGAGGCGAGTACTCTTGAGTGGACGCCCCGAGAGGGTAATAGTAACGCACATGTGGTCCAAGGTGACGCCTAATATGCATGATTGATGAGTGGCAGATGTGTCCTTTCATTCCACACATTGGATGACCATGGAGACGGCCTTGACTCCTGTGAGCAAAGGTCGACTTTGTTGTTCTAAACCCCATTCATCCACGAAATTGGTGTCAGCCCGCTGCCGCCACTGCCACTGCAAGGGCTTCGGAATGAGCAAGTGCGGGTACAGCCAAAATGGCCTTGGCAACCGATGCCCATCGGCAACCAGTTCTCTGGCTGTCCAGGATGAAACTGGGGTGCGGGGATCGAGGCTGAGGCTAATGGAGGACGTGCAAAGGCGGGCACGTGGTGTGAGAGGCGTGGTGGGAGGCGGGCTAGGGAACTGCAGCAGTTCCTATGGGCACTGAGCCCCTTTGGGTAGTGGGCTGAGTACGTCTGTCTGGACCATGATGTAAGCGAGTTTAGATCGTGGCTGAAGGGTAACACACACCTCGGATATCCTGCAGCTGTCTGAGTAGCCTGCTCTCATATTCGTGGTGTGCAGTATGCCGAATTCGGCCCTGGAGTCCGATGACCAGGTTTTGAATGGCCGTCTGTAGCTCTGTTCGACTGAGGCTATCATGTATTTCTTGTGCAGAAGGGAGGCGAACGAGGAGACTTGATGTTCGTTTGGTCTTTTGCATGACACTGAAAGCTGGACATCGAGGGGTGCAATCGGGGTGGGCAGAGGCACTCTTGATGTGACGACCGGCATTGTTCTTGGCGAGGACGCCAGCGTGTATGGCAGAAATGCATGTGTGTGGGCAGGCAATGTAGCAGCGACTTGAGACTTCGTACCAGGGGATGGTCACCATTGAAGTGGTATGGGGTTTGGGACAAGTGAGGGAGAGGAGTAAGCCATTGGAGAGCAGATTTTGGGGGTGTCCGATAAGCGACAGACGCCGAATGACAAAGATGAGGGCACGGGCGCTCTACAGAGGACATACCGGGGTGACTGATAAAGCTGTACGACCGTACCAACACATGCTTCAACGATGGTCTCACACAGCAATGTTGACTTGAGGATCTAAACGCTGTGCATTTTTCTTTTTGATACGTGATGATACAGACCACCCTACACCCCGGCCTCTATACTCGTTGTTGGAACGGGTTTCATAGTCCTCTACATTGGCTGGGCTCTGGGCCTACATCTGGCAGTTCAGTTGGAAGATGAGGTCAGCGCCCGAGTTAGGCTGTTCATAGCTCATAGCCTTGTAAGCCACATGTAATGCTGCAAATAGGGCCCACTCGACGTGAACCAGATATCCGGAAGGAAAACTGCTGATGGTGTTCATCAGCCCACCTCAACATATGTCAAGTTTGTGTGTGTCGTAGAGTTTCCTGAAAGGTGACGTTTTGGGCGAATTCTTCGGTCCGACAGAATACTGTGCTCGGAACAAAGACAATAGAAAATTTCCTTGGGTGACGTCACAGTCATGACTCTTGTGGCATCAAACCCAATCGATGTGACGTCCAGCTCGGGGGTCTGTCCCTATATATTTAGGCTCTGCCAGCTTGCTCCCATCACTTGCCCGCCCCCCTTTTGTAGCCAGCATGCCCAGATCTACCCACCATCAGTTGTCAGCCCCGTCCTCCTTTTCTGCTTGGCAATCTGACCCGGCTTCCCAAAACCCGCCCCTCGATTATTCCGGGATTGTGCGCGCTTCTGACACACCAATTGGACAAGAACCTCGCCTGTCGTGGTCATCCCAGCTGCATCAAAATCAGACACTCCGGCGGACCGCGTAGGTCTACCACTCTCTCCTTGTGTTCCAGCTCTCATATCACACTGCAGGCTCACTGGGCTAGGGTCACTCACCAACCAGTGCTTTGAGTTCCAGGGCACCATCTACCGTATGGGTGACTGGTATGTTCCTGTGTCACTCCCCCTCAGGTTGATTCCTGAACTCCCAAAGGGTGTATATGAACCCGCGCCAGAACAGCCCGTGCCCCCCCATGGGTGGGCAGTGGCTTGGGGTTGTCATGGACTACTCTGTAAACTGGATCTGGACCGAAGGCCACCAGATTCAGATTACACACGGCCACCCAGGTGAAGTCAGTGTACCATGGGCTTCAACTACAATTCTTCCCGCTCACAGATGTGCAGGTCATGCGTGTCGTTGGGATCTCTTGGACTTACGGCGTCCACGACATTCGACAACTCTTGGTAGGGAAAATTCCGCACCATGAGGAGATTGCGGTCAACAACCCCACAGAGGAAGCCACGTATGGTTTCTGTATCACAGTGTCTTCATGTAGTAACATTTTCACAGTCTGCAAGAACTCCTCAATGGCGATACTTACGCCAACACGCGGTACTTCAGTGATGAAGTGGAGTGGTTCCCACTCACCCAGCTCATGGGTGAGTCCTTGTTGTGAGGTCGCAAAGTTAGATTTCAGCTTAACTGCCAAGAAGGCTTGGCACAGCCTTCCCACGTCATGGACGGTGCAAAGGGGATTGCGTTTTATCAAGTCCCTTTTGAGGGTCCCTGGATCAGCATCAACGTTGGACCAGGTGTTGTTCGTCGACAAAATGGTGAAAACAAGCCTCGCCATCCCCTGGTGAAGAGGGAGGCACTTCACATTGTGACTGTCATCATGCGGCCCAATGTGAAGGCACCTCAGCGCCTCCACGACCCACAAGGGGGATCAGGTACAGGCTTGCCCCTACATCTAGTTCCCCCTGCAGATCGACCATTGCATATGTGTTACCGTGTGGCATACTTGGATGAGCAGGACGAGGACGAGGACGAGGACGAGGATGAGGAGGAGGAGGAGGAGGAGGAGGAGGAGGAGGAGGATGACGACAACAACAACAACGATGACGATATGCCCAGTATTGAGGGCAGCAATGACGAAGGTGACCCTCAAGATGAACCACAGCAGAGTGAGGAGGAAGATGAGCCCATGGGCGACGTCACTGGGAGTGAGGGTGGCATGGACATGTAGTGTTGGGATGCGTGTTGTGTTAACATCATATATAGCATATTTGACCGGTCACATCAGAGTTTGGCTGTGTGGAACTTCAGTGACCTGTGTGTAACCTTCTATCAGCAGGTCTGTAGAGTGTACATTGTGGCAGAAAAGATGTTGATGAATCACAGGGCTCCATTAAAAGCAGACATCAGCGGGTGAGCCCTGCAAGGATGCAAACACGTGCCACATATTGAATATAATCCAAAGCATCTCAACAAAATAGCTACTCAGTGCTCTCCAACTCGAGGAATCTGTTCTCCATGACAGGGCGGACGGAGCCGTATATACTAAACCAATCAGGTCCTTGCAGGCTGGCTTCATTTGGAAGCGTGTGGCCAGCCAGGTGTGCCTCATGGACAAAGTCGGCATAGACCAACTGTGGGTTAACCCAGGGAGGCAACACAACCACCAGGTCTCGGGGGTCTATCAATGCTCGGAACCGACACCCACTCCTCCTCCCAACAGCCTCCATGCCCTCATAAAGCAGCCACCCGATGACCATAGTTCTGCTCTGGAGCACCTGAGCGATCGCTGTGAGTTCCCCTTTGCAGTCGTTGTCTGGCAATGCTTGAATGGCGTCCTTCCAGGTGTCGATCTCCTTTTGGTCCGAGGTGTCGAACCCTAACATCTCCGGCTGGAATTCCTCTGCCCATTCGTGTTCCATGACCAAACCCCAGTACTTGATCCCTTGTGGTTGGAGGGGTCGACGTGGCCGGGGGTTGGAGTTGTGGTCAAAAACGATGTACAGTGCAACCTTGGTGAAGAGGTCCAGTACTTCCTCCAGTCTAGTCTCGAAGCTGGCCTTTTCTATGTGGTGGTGGTAACAATTGGGCCAAGAGGTGGTGTCGGAGCATTTGACAGAGTGATGGTTGTGTTCGAGTGGGGATATGCACAGCAGGGCTCTTTCAAAATCTTGCAAGAGGATGAATGAAGGGGGCGGATACCAGTGAGGGGTTAACCTGTCCGCCTCTTTGGCCAGATGCATGTGGCGGTCCCAAAGTGCAATCCGTAGGTGTCCAATGAGATAAAGTTGGCCCGTGTGATCGGTCTGTATGGCACCCAATCGTTTCAGGGTCGGGAACTTGAGCGTGCACAGGGCGCAGGTGGTAAGATTGCCCCATGGGACTTTTGAGTGGAAGGGGTGAGGCACTGAGAAGAGGGGGAGTGGCAAGCTTCCTTCAGGCATGGTATTGTGTCTGAGAAAGAACGGATGTGGTCAGCCTTGAAGAGATGTGGTGGGTGTGGTACTGGTGCACCTGATAAAAAGGCTCTGTTACGCTGTCATATATATCAATCATTGAACAGGACTCCACAGCATCCTCTGCACTCACTGTTTTAAAAAAGATGTGAAGTAGCAGGCGGTAGCACAATAATGAGGTTGAGGAGAAAGGATTGTGGGAAAGAACTCCAAAGCATTATATATCCGTGATTTCAAATATTGTGATGTCACCCTAGGAAAAATCCTGCCTATGCACAGCTTTCAGTCACGTCACGTCAGGAAATTTCCTGGCTCTGCACAGCCACCATGTGAGGGCACTTCCAACGCAACATGCCCAAACATCTGTCTGCTATGAGGCACGTACTGTGTGGAACTCAACATCATCCACAGTACAATCATCTTTTAAGGACCCAGTGACACCTCGAGTGTGGGACATAGGGTAAGGAGTTTTTGAACAGGGAGGGAGGGTTAGATGTCACAGGCTGGAGAGAGACAGCAGGAGGAATACAGCACACAACTTTGTCAAATTAGACACAGTCAAGTCCAAGCTAGCTGTGTAACAGAATGAAGTCCAGCTTAGCCGTGATTGTCACACTTAGTGATGTCACCCTAGGAAATTTCCCGGCTCTGCACTGCCACCTCGGGTGGCATCATGTGGTAGTGGTGGTCACTAAGCACCGATCTCACTAGGCCTCCTTATGGTGGCATGCAGATGGGTATTGTCAGCTCAAACGAGGGCTTTCCCGTGTAGAGAGTAAGCAGATCAGAAGAACCAAGCGTTGCCTATGGCGCACCAACATGGCATCTGAAACAGTTACGTTGCGCCAATCTGTTTGAGAAGGGATCTATCACACGAGCTACAAGATATAAACTATATCAAAGGAGCCGTCCTAACCCGACTCACCTGCATCACCTCGTCAACTCTCTCGGGCTCGGGATGCCAGCGTCTGTGTCATCGGCTATTTCGGCTATCTGACTATCTCGCGTATCACTGCAAGCGACGTACCCGGCTTACTAACACCACATGCCCCCATCTTTAAATAACAAATCCAAGCTTCTTTCTCTCACACCATCACATCTCGCCAGCGCATCACTCTATCCGGGCTTCGAGGCTATCACGACTCTAAACCACTAATTCTTTGATTGCTCTGCTCTCCACATGGCTCTCCAACAGACTGTAGGTCTGTATCCAACCCTCTTCTACACTCAAACATCCTGCTCACTAACTGGGCACTCCCCCCTAGACCTAAGTGGTTTCAAGAACCTCCCCACTGATATCGGCAAGTGCAAAGACGCTGTCCGTCGTGCCTTGGAATCTGTACAGTTCCCGGACTTCAACACATATCAGACCATCTTCAATGCTCTCTCCCCCCAGTCCTATTTAGCGGATGTGACACTCATCAAGGCCCACCCTCACCAGCGTCCAATCAACCACAAGCACCTGGATAATCTCAGCCTTGCGCTGCGTGTCGACATGAGAATGAGTCACCAAGCACCTATAATTGTGCCCTACCCTGTGTGGCGAGAAAAAAGAGACTTGATGAATGCTACATCAGATCCAAATCAGTTACCTCGCCTGAACCTCTCACTTGGTAGTGACACTCTCCCCATGTCGTTCTCACATGGTCACCGGTCGGTCTGATCACACAACCTTACTAATCACCCCACTGACTATGGATTCTCCCTAGTTTCCAAATTCTGAAGAACATCCCTTCTATGGGAGATCACTCTCAAACTCTTCAGCGGATCTATGGATCACCCCCGATGTGGGTGGTTAAGATCATCCCAGATTGTAAGAAGCTAGACCCCTCAGGCTTTGAAATACACTCATTCCACATGACAGTCTTGCTGGACATCATCCCCTCCCACGTCTGGCACACAATCATGTACCTCGACAACAAGGTGGATCACCTACAGAGCCCCCTGACAGGTGCACAAATGATGGTCGCGTTCATAAGTGCACTCGCTACGTTGCGTGATCACTTGTATCACCCTCTGCGCAATGACTTCCTTCAACGCTATCAAACACACAGCCTGAACCTCACCAATCTTAGCACTCTCTACAAGCGGACGAAGGCTGACCACTTTGGTGGTTCTGGAAACACCATCAAGGGGGAGAGGTGTCTGTCCCACCCCATTCTCATGCAGGCCTTGATTGATGGCTTGGAAGTGCCTTATCTTCATGACAACCTGCCTACAACTGTGTTCATGAGCTTGAACAATTCTCGGTGTTGGGTGAGCCTCACGTGTTCCAGCTACCTCATGACATTCTCATTTAATATTACAGCCCACATCTCGATACCTACATCATGCGGCAGCCCAAGTAGAGCTCCTGAAGGACTTTCCATCAAGAATCTGCTTTGAGATGCTGCCCAACCCCACACGATCCAACTCCAACAGACCTAAGCCCACAACTGTGAACACACTGCAGGATATTAGGGAAGCAGTACAGAGTGGGAAGGCCTTCCACCACCTTGTGCTCCACCACTCAGAGTTCAAAGAGGCACATACCGCTTCTGAGGTGACATTGGAAACATTGTGGCCAACCTCTGTGCCACCCCTCGTGGACCCAAAGAAACCTGTGAGCTTTCCCACTGTGCTTTGATGTCACTGCTCAAGTCTATTGTAGCAACTTCTCTGGCAAACAATTTTCGGCAAAAGTGGTGGTGTTTGCAGAGATCTTCTTGTCAGATTGGGTTATGCTCTCTCTCCAGTGAGTCCCTTGTCATCTCACCGTTGATATGTAAATCTCATCTGTGGGGACAGCTGTCCTATGCTTTTGTGGGGAGTGATTGGCTGAATGCTGTTGCCAACATGCATTACACAACTTTCCATCAACCTGCCAGCGTGTTCGGCCAGTACTCCTGGTGGTGCTCACCAGATGGACACGCACTGGCCTTTCTGCAGGCTGTCTCAGGCTCACGAAACTTGGCCAGCCAAGGGACTCAGCGCTGTCACCCCACAATGCTCCCCTTAAAAGAGTACTCTCTGTGGCAACTGTACCAGACTGCAGCAAAACAGGACTTGGCTAGGCTTGATAAGGTACATTGTTTTGAAGCCTTTTATAAACCCTTTTTACTTACACTTTCTGTGCTGCTTTAGGTGGCAGATCATTTCCTCTTGCATGCCAAGGATTTCATCAACATCTATGAAGCTGTGTGCAAGGCCCATTCCACAAGGGACATGGTGGTTGAACCCTTCAAGTATCAAATCTTCCCTCAAGCCTTGAACTGCCCCAGCAACATGATGAGGGAAGAGTTCCAGGTTGTTGGCCCACTGCCACAAGAACAGAAGTTTGTCACAGAGCAGCGGTATCACAACTGCTTGCAAGCCCTGTTCACAGAAGACTTGTGGCAAGAGGCCTTCCAGATTCTCGAGCTCCCAGAGGTCTTCAAGGATGTCACAGGAAATCTTCCATTCTCACCTCTGCCCAAGTCCTGCTTCTGTCCACCCTCCCCCCACATTTCTCCACCCTCCCACCACATTTCTCCACCACTCGTTGAAGCGTCTCCATCTCCTATTCCCGCACCCTTTACAGATGAAGACCCAAACCTGCTCCAAACTTTGGATTCAGAGGAAGTTATACAGGCCTTCGGTCGTGCATATCACCCCCCTTCCAATGATCTAGAGCCAGCTCTCTTCCATGAGCAGTCCCCTATGCAGCCTAGCCTCAATTCTGGGGCCCAAAGCAGTGACGATGAAGAAATTCCTGTCAATAATGAAGTCCAAGATCATTCCAAGGATGATGGCGCTG